AATTATACGGACTGAGTATTTCCCGTCACAATGGAAAGTTTCAGAAATAATCATGATAGCAAAGCCAGGAAAACCACCCCAACAAGCAAGTTCATATCGACCTATCAGTCTACTTCCAATAACATCCAAATTGTTTGAGAGGCTCTTCTTGAATCGTCTACTTGAAGAAGTAGAGGACAGAAACTTGATTCTAAATCATCAGTTTGGGTTTCGACGGGAGCATTCCACAGTTGAACAAGTACATAGATTGGTTAATACAATTAAAGAAGACCTTGAGAAAAAGAACTATTGTACAGCTGTCTTTATCGATGTAAGTCAAGCCTTTGACAAAGTTTGGCACACAGGCCTACTTTATAAACTCAAACTGAATCTTCCTCATACATTTTATATGACAATTAAATCATACCTAACCGACAGATATTTCAGAGTTAAATTTGGAGACAGCATTACAAAATTGTACCCAATTCAAGCTGGCGTTCCCCAAGGAAGTGTTCTCGGACCTGTACTATATACTCTGTTTACAGCTGATCTACCTGAAAATGTGAATACTTCTGTGGCCACTTTTGCTGACGATACAGCTATTTTAGCGTCCCATCCTGATCCAGTGGTAGCTTCACTTAATCTTCAAAATTCCCTAGATGACTTAGAAGAATGGTTGCAAACATGGAAAATAAAAGTGAATGAGAGCAAATCTACTCATGTGACCTTCACTACCAGATTAGGTACTTGTCCTCCTGTAACCTTAAATAATGTCCAGATTCCGCAATCCCACGATGTGAAATATCTCGGCATGACGATTGACAAAAGATTAACCTGGAAAACCCATATCTGGAATAAAAGAATGTACCTAAATTTAAAATTTAAAAATCTTTCCTGGCTCCTAAATAGTAAATCAAAATTGACCATTGCAAATAAATTATTACTATACAAAGTAATACTGAAGCCAATTTGGACTTATGGAATCCAACTGTGGGGAACGTCCAGTATGTCGAACATAAACATTATCCAACGATTTCAGTCAAAAGTTTTAAGGTTCATTCTGCAAGCCCCGTGGTATGTTAATAACAATATCCTTCACAAGGACAGTGGAATTCCTACGGTTGAAGAGGAAATAACAAAATTTAGTGCAAAATATCTAAAGAAACTTGAAAATCACCCTAATCACCTGGCTCTAAACCTCTTGGACAACAGCACCAGTATATACAGGCTAAAAAGGATTCATGTTTTGGATCTAAGCACACGTTTTGTTTGAACAATTTAATTTTCCCTTGTTTATTTACATATTTATGTTTTCATTGAAATATTTTTAAGTTAGCTCTGTCAATGGACAGAGATTAACTAACGTTTTATTAAAATTTGTTATTGTATTTGCTAAATGTTCTAAAAATGAACAGATTGTAAATAAAATTGTGATAAAAAAAAAGTCTATTATTAGGAATTCAATGATTGTTATTACTTACCTAACCTCAAAAGCTGAGTTGTCAATAATAATCTTCTCACTAAGCTATTGCCAACCTAAAATTTATAAAAAAATAAAATACCCTGTTCTGTCCTTGGTGGGGTAACTTGAGACAACTGATTTGACAAAGAAGGTGCTACAGTCAGTGCTATGAAGCAGACTCTCAAGGGTAACTGGAAATTGCGGGGAAAAAATGATGAACTTGACTATCGTTGGGAAGACATTGTTGGTGGTATTAACCCCCCTAAAATGCTCAATAAGAGGGGTTTTTTTCTGTGCCAGAATTGAACGAAATTTACTAAGTTATGTCTGACATTGTGAAAAAAAATTGTTTCCTCTTTTTTAAATAAATTTATTTTTTTAAGTTTGTAAGTTCATATGTGTATTCCTTTGTTTTCCTAAATATTTTATTATGTCTCAAGTTACCATTGCATTATCTAATTTGAGACAACTGTTGTTTTAACATCTGTGTCTCAAGTTACCCCATTTATATGGGTAACTTGAGACACTAATAAAAATAAATAAATAAATAAAATTTCTATATTTACACCAATTATTAAATGTAGGTAGAAACCATAGTAACCAGGGTAACTAATGTTTTATTCTAGTTTTTGCAGATTTCCCTATACAATTATTTGGTAGGGGTTTCTTTTAAGTTGAAAAATGTCTCAAGTTACCTACCCCGTTTTACTCGGTACTTACCTTTTTTTAATCTAATTTGCCTGGACTATTCCCTTAAAATGGATGTTATTTATTTCTTATTTAAATAACATTAACTTTAATGAGTACTTAGGTTTGCTGCTACTTCTGGTAAATAAAAGGTGTGTTTTATTGAAATGTTGATGGCTTGGTATGATATAACAAATTCAATTAAATTATATCCATAAACAAACTACACCAGTTTTCTTTTTCTCCATAAGAATGGATAACATGGAAATTTTATTTACACTTTTTTGGAATTTCTCCAGAACTGTCGAGAATGTACAGTACTGTAAATGCTGTAAATATGTAAATACTGTACTGTAAATGCTTCAAAAATGCTTCAATATACTAATTTTTATTTTCTTAAGCTCTACAAAATAATTTAGAAAGAAAATGAAAAAAATCATGTTTTTTGGAGTCAAAAATGGGAAAACCCAATTATACGAGGTCTGTTCAAAAAGTATCCGACCTTTATGGAAAAGCATAATTAATTGATCAATTTAATAATAATAGTAATAATAAATCTTTATTGTCATTTGGTAATATAAACATTACAATAGACAAAGTCAACATGTTTTGTTACATATGTTGAATAAATTATTAAATAGGCTACCAGTACAGAAAATGTTAAAATAAAGTTAAAAGAATCTTAAAAGGATAAAGCATCAGTAATAATAAAAAAGTTTGAAATTAACAGGGAAAAGACCATAACAAGAACAAAGAATCATCAAGACTGCTTGGCATCACATTTAAGAGTTGAAAAATCTACATTCTGCAAAAACTCCTCGACTGAATAAAAAGCACGACTTGAAAGCCAATCCGATAATTTTCACCTATACAAATGAATACTTTCCTGATTTCTAAAATATATTGGAAGTTTATTAAATAGTTTTATTTGCAAATATTTCTTCCTTCTTAATGGACTTCATACGAGCTGTCGCATATTGCGTTATCTCATTCCTGCTCTGAAATCGGGTCCCTTTAAGCAAGCGGCGACATCAAGGTAGGGAACATTTAGAAGTAACTAGGTGCCATATCCGAGTAGGGGGCCTAGTATAGCATTCTGAATGCATTCCAGCATGACTAGAGCAACTTCCTTTGGTTCATCAGTCAACCTCTTAAGGACAAATTTTGCAGCAACTCCTGTGCATAGCCATAGCTTCCATTACAATAGAATGAACTGAACCAATACTGATTCCAACTTCCTTAGCTAGTTAAGGAACAGTAATACATCGATCCTCCATCACTAAAACTCGAACTTGATCGATAACTTCATAATTTTGACTTGTTGATGGTTTCCCAGAACGTTGTTCACTGTCCACCGAAGTGCGGCTATTTTTTAATCTGTTGTACAACTCTTTTATCTGTGTTACACCTATAGTGTCTTCTCCAAAGGCTTCCTGAATCTTAAGAATCGTTTTCGAGCTTGGGTATGGCCCAGATTTTGGCAAAATTTAATGCAGTATCGCTACTCCTACCGTTAAGTCATTTTGCTTAGCACAAAAACACAACGAATACTACATACACAGTTTCACGTTTAGTGGCCAACAATGAACTGATGCCATGTCAAGGTTACGTGATTGGTGCCAGGGTGCAGCTCAATGCAGTTGTTGGATTACTAGATAAATAAACGGTGTCAGTATTCTGACACATACTTTCTCCCATAAGTTTGTCAACAACCTTTATCATGTGTAAGCGGTGAGAGTAGGCCTACATATACGGAAATGGGATTTGTAAAACTTTGTTCAGAATTTAAAGGACTATAACATACTAAATTTTTATCAAAACCGTTCGGGCCATTTTTGGGAAAATCCAATTTTTCCGTTATTTTATGGGGTTTTTATGGGAAAACAACATAATTTACAATAACCTTTGAACCGTAATTTTTACAGAAATGGGATTTGTACCATTTTGTTCAGAATATAAAGGACTAGGGCCTATAACATAATAAATTTTTATCAAAATCGTTTGGGTCATTTTTGGGAAAATCCGATTTTTCCGTTATTTAATGGAGTTTTATGGGAAAATACCCATTAAAAATCAAAATTTATAAATAATGAAAAAAGCTATCAATATTGTAAGGACCATAACATACTATGTTAAATCAAAATCGGATTTTTTTCTAAAATCCTATTTTTTGTTGTTTTATAGGGTTTTTATGGGAAAATAACATAATTTACAATAACTTTTGAGCCGTAATTTTTAGAGAAATGGGATTTGTACCATTTTGTTCAGAACTTAAAGGGCTACAACATACTAAATTTTTATCAAAATCGTTCAGGCCATTTTTGAGAAAATCAGATTTTTCCGGTTTTTACGGGAAAATCCCCATTAAAAATCAAAATTTCAAAAAAATAAAAAAACACCTGGAGCTACCATGGATTAGAACCTACATACCAAATTTCATCGAAATCGTACCACAGGTGTAGTCCCTAGCTCTGTACACATCCAGCCACACCAACACACACACAGACATCACTTTGAAAACCAATTTTTTGGGTCCAGGGGGACCCAAAACGAAAATATCCACTCAAAACTCAAACTCGAAAATTTTGACGAAAACAATACTTTCTCCATATACTATGGTATAGGGGGAGAAAGTAAAAGTAAGGTCGCGGATACTTTTTGAACCGACTTCGTAAAAAAAGTATATATATGAATTTGAACAAATGGTATTTTTGGCCACTGGGGACCTCAAAACAAAAAAAATAAAAAACGGAAATAGCATTCCCCATATGGAAAATTTGCTAAAAGACAATAGGCCAACATAATTTATTCATTAACAAAAGAATAATAACATTAAATAAAAATAAATACAATTTACACTTAAAGTATCACATTTAACAAAAACACACATCATAACAATACAATAAAATCCACAAAAAGGGATTTTTCAGGAAGTAGTATCCTATCTTTTTTCATCACTGCTGGGTAGAGTTTTGTTGAATTTCCCATCGAGGAGCTTCCAAATTTTGTATCCGTGTACGTCGAGGCAAGATGACATCATAAGGATATTTCTTAAAGGCTTTGGCAAACATTGCCTTCATTTTCTTGTTGGATTCTGGTAACACGGCTGGCAGCATCTGGTCTATGATTAACCTCCATGAAGAGTTCAACACTGATTTGACCATCCGATCTAAAACGTTAGTACGGTAAAGTGAGTAAGTGACTGGGCTCATAAAAAATATCACTTACCACTATACTAAATGGTACATCTTTGAGGTAACTAAGGCATATAAATTATATTACTCAAACATGAAAAAGACAGCAGTAAGAAAAAAGTGGCAACACCGTGTTTATGTTTACTTGTTTGTTATTTAACATGGCTATTGGCCGGCGAGTGTTGCAAAATTTTTGTGCGCAGCCTTGTATTAGAGGAGGCTATGGTGAAATGCCTTTTGTTGCTTGGTTTCTGTCCTAAAATTGACTGCAATTTCTATTTAGTCATAGGGTAATTTTTATGCTCAATGAACAGTTAGATTTAATTTTGAACTACCGTATAAAAAAACTAATGACTTTTCTCAGGATCCAACATGACCACTTTTATTTGATTGTAATGCGAGCTCTATAACCTCTTAGACATGGAATATTAGTATTTTAGTTTAAAAAAGAGATATACTGTATGTAAAAAGTTTTTTCTTTAAAAACACACTTCAGAGAAATAAAAACCAACTGATAGTAAGCCATATCATTTAAAAACTAATTTTTATTTTTATTTAAATCTGTTTGTCTACTTACTGAGAGCTGGTCTTCCATCAACAACATCATTGTTCCGTACAGTCATTTTCTTTATTCCACTTCCAGTAAAAGTCCATTCAAATTCTTCAATTTCCAAATAGTCGTAATCCTCTATGGTTTTTGTGTTTCCAAGTATATGGTATGATACATTTGTGTTTTCTGTAAAAGTATACATAATATTTTTAAAGTTTAGTATAAAACATTAAATGGTTTTGGCAAAATTGTATTAAACCGTGCTGGCTCGTGGTTTGCATGTGACACCCTATTTGCTCGAGAGCTTTTTTCGCCCTCATCCCTTTTCTTGAGAGGAAATTTTCTCTCCTTCATGAATAAATGAATTAATTAATGAAAATCGTTTATTTCAACAGGCAAAGTTAGGGCCGCATGGCCCTTCCTTACACTTAACCTGCACACATGCAAATATAAAATAGAAAACATTATTTACAAATAAAAGAATACTTATAAATAACAAAAACCATCTAACAAAAGACTCACACGTTCATTCAACTGGCTGAGTAGCTGAGTGGTTATAGTGCTCACCTAGTAATCAAAAGGTCGCCGGTTCAATCCTGAGAAAAGTCAGTAGCTTTTTGATGGTTTGAAACTGGACCCAGCTGTTCCTGATCATTGGGCTTTAAATTAATGATCCTGACTAATGAAACCGCTGATCTTAGTCAGTAACAATAAAGCTACACAGGTCATCACACACCATTCTACACTCATCCTTCATTCCTTTGGGTTAAAATACGCACCTAGGTGGCGTCCTCATCTCAATGATTGATAATGGATAATTAATAATTGATTCACTCAGTCAGAAATTAAGCAAGTGCCAAAACAGTCCTAGGACGTACCAGCCAAAGCCATATGCTCCAAATACAACTTTTTGAGCAAAACTTTTTCCTTGCACCTCAACCTAAAACCATTTTGCACCCCTGGATCTGAACCCATCTACTAGCGAGGCCCTCAAACTACTGGTGGCACAGCATGGTTTTTCATTTTTACTGCAAAATAACAAAGACTATAAAACCACGTTAGGGCCATTTCACACCTTATGTTACGCTTTAGATTTTTTGAGCCGATCGCTTATCTTTGTTTTAAATGGAGCAAGTCACACCGACATAGACAGACTCTGCTGACTCAGTATGTCTGCTGGATCACTGGCCAAGAGATGGGTACAGACGTAAGGTTACTTCTGTGGCCTCGCACATGCACACTGAGATCGTCTGCACCACATGCTCATTTGAGGGTGATTTCAAACTGAAAGAGACGTTCTAGGGACAAAAAATATTTTGGGGATTTCTAGGGACAAAAATATGTTAGAGGATTTTTAGAGAAAATGCAGAAATCCTTTGAAATTAGTTTTTTTTAGTTATTGTGAAGTAAAATGATGAATTAGCCAAACTTTTGAACAAAATATCAAATAAGGACACATCTATCTATCTATATAATTGAATAACGCTAAGCCGAATTTTGTGAACAGAACCCCTTCCTCATTGTTAGACCGATTTTGAGTATTAAAGTGTCAAAAAAATGGCCCTGATCTGTAGTTTTGCAATGTGGTTTTTTTGAAATCTTTATTATTAGTTTGGCCAGGATCTTCCATCAAAGTTGGGTTTTCTCCAATAAGGTTAAAATGGGGGAATCTATATATTTAATTGGACACTTTGTCTCCACTAATTTGAGAGAACGGCTGGGCGTAGAAACTTGGTAGAGGTGTCCAAAGAAAGGTCTCGGTCTGTAGAAAAGCCATCAAAAGGAAAACAAAGTCAATTCCCTTGGGGCTCTGCCCCAGTGACCTTAAAGTTCTCTTCCCAGATTTGTTTACATTATGGACATATGGATAATTTTCACTACTTTTTAATGAAACAGCTGTTAATATTTAAATTGTATTTTAAACAACACATATCCATGCTGCAGCACGGGCAGTGCAACACTACGTCACAGTGGTGGTTAGTTGTACTAAACTCTTACCATTAAAATCTTACAAACAGCCAGCTTGTTTATTTACCTAAACATATGGGAATGGTGATGGCAATGAATTTATCAATGAAATCTATCCACTAGTGTGACGTCATGGATCCTGCAGCATGGCCTGTTTTTCTAGTGGGGCCTTGAGTTGAATTTGTCAAAAAAAAGTAGTAATTGCAATGTGCAGAAAGTATTTTCTGATTTTAACATTTATTTTCTTCTGCATCATGTCATGTTTTGCAATATAACGTTCCATTACGAAATCAGTAGAAAATCTTAATTTCACAGTACGGTAACTCTTAAAATGATTTATTATTGAATTATCTTATATCTATTGTACGGGTTGGTGCCTGTCTTTTTGAGCACTTTTGCCCATATTGTTTAATATATTATTCAAGACAGATAATCATAGGTTCATGAGATTATTGTCTTAGATGTTTTCAGTCATTGAAAAATTCTTCGATTGTTTAATACAATACAAAATAATACAAGCGTAGAGGGGCACGTTACCGGTATGAGCCATGTCAATGTTTTTTTAAACTAATGGTAGTTTACAGCAACTGGATTAAAATGTTTATGTAGAAATATCTTGATTTAGAAAGTAAATTACGTAGTGAAGCTTGAAAATTGCAATTTACTGCAGTCTTTTCAGAGAGGTTACTTCGATGTATTCATTCAGCTTCAGTGAAAACATTAATATAGAGCCTTTGAATGTTATTGAGCTAACAAAAAGGGTTGTGCATGTTTACTAGCGCTACCATAGACTAACCGAGTATGTTTTATCCATGGCGCTACTCGGCAACAAAACCAATTTAATTTAACAGTTCAAGAATAAAAGCCATTCCAACTTTAACAGTAAGCTCATGACCGATCTATAAAAATTATGCTAGAGGGTTATTCACTGGCACAGAAGTATGGTATGATGACCAATAATGTGACAAAGGAAAAAATAAAACTTACACAGCTTAAGGGTGGACCTCCCTTTGAAGGAAGAACGTGCCTTCTCAACAAACAGATATTTTTTTCTCAAATTAAAATAGCGTAATCTGCATTACACTGATGAAATCACGGAAGTGTTTACTCAAAATATCCACCAATACGATTTCAATACTATTTAAAGGTTCTTCCAAAAGAAGAGAAACCAGTTAACATAGTAATGATAACTCCGATGAATATTTTTTATGCCATATGAATGGGAAATATTTTATTAATTGAATGATCATTGATCAACCATATTTTGTAACCAACACAATAGTAAACTTATTGTTTTTTACACTTATTAAACTCATTAAACTATGCCAAATGCTCAAATTGTTTATAATTTCACTCTATTTTTCGCAGTTAGATGAATTAGCGTAAGCCTTGAAAGCAACCCCTAGTTCATTTATATTTCAACAGATTTCTCTGGGGTTTTCAGCAAAGCTTTGATTGCCAGTTTGTCTACATGGTTGCCTTGAATATTGAAAAAAAAATAGGTTTACTGAGACCATCATCAAAGATTTATTAGTTACCTACGTCCTTCCAAAATAGAAACATACAATATAGGAATAGGATATTTAATTCATTTGATTGACACCTTCATAAAAAAATCCTCTCTTAAACATATAAGTATTTATAGCTTATATAAACAAACAGTAGGCCTATCTATTTATTTTAACTAATCTGTGGTCGCGAATAAGCGTTAAACTTTTTATTGGGTATAATAGGAGCATAAATGGAACTCGTAAACGTGGTTTAAAAAAATATATCTCATACACACCCCCAGAGATGACATGTTTTAAGTTTTTTGAAAAAAATTGACATAAATGCAAAAATGTTGCATTTTTTGGGTTAATTTAAAACTTTCAGCAACAATTAACTGTACCATCGTGTTCTCCACAAAATTTTGAATAAAAATACATGTATTTCAACTTGCCAAAATCTGCATAGCTACTTTTTAAATTGAATAGAAATAAAAATTTGTGTTTTTCAAAAATTTTTAAAAAAATACGTAAACATAAAACTTTTTTCAAAAAAGGTTTTAACGAGCAGCAAACACTTTTAAAAACTGCTCCATGATCTAAGGTTTCAAACAATACCATAAAACGTAATATTTGATCCCGATAAATGTCCGCTATTCAAGTTTGAATGGCGTAAAACACAGGTTACCCAAAACATTTTTACTACTGTCGCGTCGTAATAATGTTTTTTAGATTAATTAAAATAACACCATTTAAACGGATTTTGAAATAAATTTTTTGGCAATCTTTTTTCAAACTGGATGAATTAACTCAGCTATAAGGCTAATCTTATACCAATTCAAGTAAGATATGTACCTATGATATGAAATTAAAAATTAATAATAATTCATTTCGTAGTAGAGAAATTAGTTTTATTATTTACAGTACAGCCATGATATGAAACAAAAAAAGACCTAGTCGTTTTCTCTTATTTACACTACTGCATACTTCACTAAAACGACAAGGCTGTGCCCTACAACCTAAAAAAAAACACGATACAGATATTTGATAAACTTAAACTTAATAAATAAAAGCAGCCTTAAAATATGTTAAAATGAAAATATTACAGTAGTTGGGGATTAAATTGAACATATGAGACAAATAATTTAGTTTCAGGTAATACAAATGTTAAACATTTTGGATAGATTGTACAGACATTTCATCAAATTTTAATAAAAAATACTGCTAGCTCTAAAATATGGTAAAATTAAAAGATTAAGTAATGGATTAAAATAAACAAAAAGAGAATTGCTTCATTTCAACTTCCCTACTTGGATCGGACGAGGAGGCACTGTTTCTTGGCCTGCCAGATCTCCGGATCTTAACCCAATGGATTTTTTGTTTGGGGGTTTATGAAATCGGTCGTCTACACAACCCCTGTAAACACTGAAGAAGAACTTTTGAACATGATCATTGGAGCAGCAGAAGTGGTCAGGGGAAAGATGAGCCATAGCGTAACTGTTCAATTTATGAGAAAGAGAGCCAGAGCCTGTATTAGACAGAATGGCCATAATTTCGAAAATGTTCTTAAGTGAATGCCGACCTCTCTTGTTTCAAATGTCCACACAACTTTCCACTTCTCCGAGAGATTTGAACATGAATATTTACCCCAAAATCAATTGTGTCTTTCATAGCTTTTTGTTTATTTTAATCCATTATTTAATCTTTTAATTTTACCATATTTTAGGGCTAACTGTGTTTTTTATTAAAATTTGATGAAATGTCTGTACAATCTATCCAAAATGTTGAACATTTGTATTACCTGAAACTAAATTATTTGTCTCATGTGTTCAATTTAATCCCCAACTACTGTAATATTTTCATTTTAACATATTTTAAGGCTGCTTTTATTTATTAAGTTTAAGTTTATCAAATATCTGTATCGTGTTTTTTTTAGGTTGTAGGGCACAGCCTTGTCGTTTTAGTGAAGTATGCAGTAGTGTAAATAAGAGAAAACGACTAGGTCTTTTTTTGTTTCATATCATGGCTGTACTGTAAATAATAAAACTAATTTCTCTAATACAAAATGAATTATTATTAATTTTTAATTTCATATCATAGGTACATATCTTACTTGAATTGGTATAAGATTAGCCTTATAGCTGAGTTAATTCATCCAGTTTGAAAAAAGATTGCCAAAAAATTTATTTCAAAATCCGTTTAAATGGTGTTATTTTAATTAATCTAAAAACCATTATTACGACGCGACAGTAGTAAAAATGTTTTGGGTAACCTGTGTTTTACGCCATTCAAACTTGAATAGCGGACATTTATCGGGATCAAATATTACGTTTTATGGTATTGTTTGAAACCTTAGATCATGGAGCAGTTTTTAAAAGTGTTTGCTGCTCGTTAAAACCTTTTTTGAAAAAAGTTTTATGTTTACGTATTTTTTTAAAAATTTTTGAAAAACACAAATTTTTATTTCTATTCAATTTAAAAAGTAGCTATGCAGATTTTGGCAAGTTGAAATACATGTATTTTTATTCAAAATTTTGTGGAGAACACGATGGTACAGTTAATTGTTGCTGAAAGTTTTAAATTAACCCAAAAAATGCAACATTTTTGCATTTATGTCAATTTTTTTCAAAAAACTTAAAACATGTCATCTCTGGGGGTGTGTATGAGATATATTTTTTTAAACCACGTTTACGAGTTCCATTTATGCTCCTATTATACCCAATAAAAAGTTTAACGCTTATTCGCGACCACCCTGTATATATAAAAGGCAAAGCCCTCACTGACTGACTGACTGACTCACTCACTCATCACTAATTCTCCCACTTCCCATTTACCTAGGAGGCTGAAATTTGGTACACTGATTCTTTAGGCATTAAATAGGAAAACTAAGTTGTTTTTATTCTGATCGGACTCTCGGGCTCCGCCCCAGTGGCTCTGGAGTTTTCCATGTTAACCTTATGAGTACTCATATTTAAATGGAATTAATGAATCTTAACAGCTGTTTCAATTAAACAAGTTGGTTCTGTTCTATGAAGTGCAATAACATTAAAGTTACAAGGATTACCAACAGGGTGCAGCACTATTATTTTTTTTAACTTATGACAACAGCTAATTTGCAACCTAAAAGTGAGTGAGCATAGCGAACGAACTTCAACCAGGACGTGATTGAGCCATGCGAACGAGCTCATCTTGAAAATTAAGAAGTTAAACAGGGCAAAGCCCGCGGGTACAGCTAGTACTTATATATTTGAAGGGGAGCGAGCTGGTCTAGTGGTAGGGTTAGACTACACCTTCACTCATAACGTTTGGGCCATGCACCGCACACAATTCACAATGAATTTTTTTGCTGCGTGATTCTTTGACTACAGAAACCTGATTAAACCACGCCTTTCATACTTGGCAGAATAATCCATGGCGGTGCTAATTTTTTACGTTATAACAACAGAACGCGCGATTGTACGATCCTCTCTCTATCACAGCTATAGAAGCCTAGGTACTGAACGGCTGCGCACGCCAATGTGAGAATGACGGCGCTACCCCCACTACTTAGTGCACCACGCCTAGGCGGCAGTTACTTCGAGGATGACCCTCGTATTATGAATTGTAACATGTTATTTTTAAAAATCTAGCCGAATATCTATATCCCTGTTATAGCCCTAGGAAAAGTGGTCACCGTTCAGTTTTTTTTTAATCTTAATAAACATATTTCTGTAAACATGCACATACCTCTCTTAGTTCTTGTGTTCCAAAGACTATTTTCCTAAGTAACATTATAGCAAGAAATCATTTATTTAAAGAGAGTTGTTTAGTGTCTTACCAAAATGCATATCAACACGTCCTTTTATATTGACAGGAATGTTTAACACATTCCCATTCAGTTTGTATTCAGCTTTGACAATCATGTGAGGCACTTGCAAGTCAAAATCCAGTATAAACTGATATGGGATGTTCAATTTGGGCCTGGAAACAATGTTAGTCAATGTTAAAACATTATTAATTTTATAATTTTTTCCCTCACTAAATAAATACTTTATGATACTCAAAAAAGCTCCTGTGATTACTTTATTAAACAAAGGTACTCTTAAATAAACCTCTTCCACAATTTTTTCCATGTTAATTAAAGAGAAGCATAATTTGGATATTCCAATAACACCATAACAAGGATATTTAATATAAAAATAAAAAATATTTAAATATTTAAATATTTTTGAAGGATATTTAAAGTCTAGAGGTTAGAGTGGGGGGAATGAGCTGGTCTAGTGGTTAGAGCGCGGGACTTTGGTTCCTGAGGTCCCGACAAATCCAGCGAAATCACTAATGGATTTTGTCTAAGTGATAATGCCGCAACCCCTAGGTCTAGCCTGAAGTAATGTGAAAAACAATTTCGGGCTCGTGCCTAGCGTCCTAGGACAAAAAAAAGAAAAAAATGGTTAGAGTGGGACTTTGGTCCCTGAGGTGCCAGGTTCAAATCACGCCAAATCACCAATGTATTTAATCTAAGTGGTATTGCCGCATCCCCTAGGTCTAGCCTGAAGTAATGTGAAAAGCAATTCCGGGCTTGTGCCTAGCGTCCTAGAAAAAAAAAACAAAAAAAAAACAACCGTTTATCTGTAAGTAATTTATTTTGACCTTAGTCAAATATACTTTAATTTACTATAATCTATTAATAACTCACAGTTTGGGTTAGTTTGAAAATTTTGGCGCTACTTCCCAATTAAAATACTCCATTTTGATTTCAGTGACCTGGTAGAATTAAGTGCCATAACAGCTGTTTTTTTTTTTTTTTTTTTTTTTATTAAAGCTAAAATTTCCTAGTTTTTACATTTTAAAGGAAAGCCAAATTAGGTAGGTAGGTTAAAGGAATGGTTGGTTCAGAATTATTTTGAAAATGGAAACATTGCAATTGGTTTGCCTGAGAAAAATATAATCCAGAGGTTTGTAAGATACACAAATATAACACTTAACACTCATATTTTGTTCTAATTAATATAGGACTTCTTATAGTAGATTGCAGAGGGGGTTCATGTATTGAGCAGATTGAGCTATATTTTGCAATCTTTATTTGGTCCAATGGACTCTATTTTATAGGTAAGCTAGCTGAACTCTATCCCCTTTCAAAACTATTCCTAGACTTTTTCAAATCTCTGGCACACTATAGTTACTAAAATATCTTTAAGCTGAAAACTATAGTGCACAGTAAAGCAAATATAAATAAAGCAAACTAAATGTGATGAATTGTGTGAGATCTTACGAACTATTTCAAAATATAGTATTCAGTTTATTTTTGGCCTTAACCACTTGTTTTTCACTTAAAAATATAATTGCTAAGTTTTTGGAAAACACATTTTTGCCCTCCAGAGTCTGTTGAAGGGATGGTGAACTGACCTGACACTGATGACCTTGGAGTCCATGACCCCGTACAGATAAGAGTTGGTGGTAACCAGGTCGCCTCCTAGGATGGGACTCTTGTAGTTGTAACGGAGAATATCGAAAAACATCGGGTCTAGCGGCTCCAGGTCAAAGTCTGCCGAACCTAGAGTTAAAAATTGTACATATTAATATTTCTGTCTTTTAAAAGTACTTCATCCTCACACATTTTTAAAGATACATATTTATAGTGCTTCCTTATATTCCTTGTTAGAGATGTAATTTTTTCATGATTTTTTTCTGTAACACTAAATTTAATTCCTGTATTAAATCCTTCATTTAGTGAGAATTTTCCTATCAGCTATTATATCGTTTACATTTACTCATAGCAATTTTTAATACTAATTTAGCATTAAATCCAAGATGAAGTAGTTCTCCCATTCCCTTGTTGCCAATTTTTGAATGAGAATAAATAGAGCCACCAACAGAAAGTGATGGTGTCGCTTGCTAATTTCTGTTCTATACACCAACTTTGTAACTTCAACAGTGCCATGATTATACACATCAACTATTATACACATGAAAATCAAATTTTAAGATGTATATGTTCTATAAGAGGGCTTTTCAAGCTGTGAGGAACAACACGAGTGTTACAGCTCATTCATACAGTGTGTAAATTAAGTCTTGATACAAATCTGTATTTTTTAAACCAAAATAGATAGAAATATTCTGTTTGTGGCGTTGATTGTAAAGATTCCGTAATTTTTTACATCAAAAATATTTTTTAACCCCCCTCACAGGGTAGGGGGTAGGGGGTGACTTATTTTGTTCAAATAGCAACCCCTATTGAGTGAATTGAATCCCTCATTTTGAAGGATTTGTCAAAAGAAACACAATGACGCAAACCCAAGGTAGATATCTCACCCCAAGCCAAAATGGCTTGAGACCATACTGGTAAGACCTGAATATTCCAAGGATATACCAATAAAACAATGTTTATATTTACTCCTTATGCAGACAATTCGAATTGTAAAATGTGTAAAAAAGGTTAGTCTAGAAGGTTCTCAGAGTTAGAGAGGAGTCCTCTCTAGGTCCTCTCAGAGGACTCTCCAGAAAATTCTTGCACTAAGTGCCTACATTAGGCAGGTGGCAGATGCCCACTTCCTATATATATCTTTTGTCTATCACAGTGTACAGTGAACTGTGTACTATAAGAAGTGTCAAATTAATATTTTATGCAGCCTACTTAATTATGTAGTAAGTAAATTAACAACTTTTTACTACTAACCTAAAAAAAAGTTACAAAAACAGAACAATACCTTTTTTAAACCGTGGCATAAGTTTTTGCACGTTTTTCTTGATACACTCTGCAACTTTAGGATCATCTCTGTAGCAGATATCAACATAAGGTGCTGAAAACAAGTTTTGAAAATAAAATACCGTATAGTATATTCTTATGATTGGTTCCCAGTTAAATTACCCAATAGTATAAAGCGTCACATTTCACAGACAAAAGAAGCTCAATTTATGGCAGCCCCTCTTCCTCTAGGTATTTCATTACCTTTCTTTAGCTGATACTGGTATACATTTTAGCATATTGTTGGGTGGCAAAAAGATAAAAATCTTAAATAAGTCCAAACCTCATATAAAAATGTTGTATGTTCAAATGAATTAAATCTTATATAGTTTGCTATTTAATTTGCTTTACCAGTGGATTTGGATGTTTAACAGTAAATGGAAGTGTATCTTAAGTCAAGAGCTTTACTTTAGAAAAAATTAGCAACTTTTTTGAAAAAAACCAATTAACTTAGTTGATTTAAATTGACAACACATCTCAAATAAGCATTAAAAACCACATAAACTAATTACAAACCCAACAGTTTAAGAGTTTGTTAAACTAAATATTACGTTTTAATCCCATGAGTAACTAATAAGTGTGTTACGATAGCTAATTTATAATAGCATCAGACAGGTAAAGAAGACAAAATAGGTACCGTATCAATCATCACATGCACAAAATACAGTAGACACCGTAAAGAGAATAAATTCATATTTTGAGGTCGAAATTTCGAATTTAAGCTATATAGTGTTAGGCCTGCTATTTAGTTTCAAGAACTTACTATAATTATTAAGTTTCCTTTTAGCGAATTTCCCATATAGGTAATAAGCTATTACCGTACCGATAGGTCTCATGGTAAGACCTGGACCCGGGACCGATTTACTTTTTCATTTTGAGGTGGAATAGGTGGAATAGAGGCCAAAAACACCATCCGTTAAATTTCATATTATGTGTGTGTGTGTGTGTCCGTTACAGAATTTTTGTAGAGCACAAAAAAAACAAATAATTCAGTATATAGATAGTCCAGGCAAAATACGACAAATTACCCTTAAACCTCAGCAAAATTGCTTCACAAGCAATTGAAGTGGTATTCAACACAGAAAATAATGCTTTATAACATATCCAAAATCCAAAAAAATCCGACCATGGGAAATTACAAAAAAATCAAATTCAAAATGGCGGCAAAATTTCAAATTTTTGTGATATTTGTTTTACGGCTTTTGGCGGTATGGGATAACGGAAAGCACATATACATAAATTAAATATCAGCATTGACTATTGGATACAGAAGTATACTGAGTAATTTGAGACCAGAATGAACTTGGTGACATATTAACAACCCGAGATATACATCTTTTGATAAAAACTTATATCTAAAAAGTAAAATTTAATATTGTGATAGGGTTCGTAGCTCGTTTCTAAATCACCCAATTTTAATGATTAATAGTTCAAATGTCCCCCCCCCCCTTTTATCACTGAATATTTTAAGGCTAGAACAAACTGCAAGCGTTAGTAAAAACTGGAGATATAAGAAAAATTATCTTAAAAAATTTTCAAACTACGTAACGTCCATAAGAAATGTATGAGGGTGAATTTTCATTGAATATATTTTCAAAACGAACAAATATGTTCAAAAACAGATTTTAGCATTGAAATCAGCGTGAAAATCTAATTTATAATGATGTATCACAACACTATCATTTTGTTTAAAAAAATATATTTATAGGCCTATTCAAAATGGCAGATCCAAGATGGCGGCCAAAATGCGTTCCCTATCAAAATAAAGGACTAACCACACAATAAATATCGGTGGTATAATCTCAAGTGAATATCTAAAAAATATGCATAAAAATTCATGTGATATATTTTTTAATGTGTCCAATGTTGGGGATAACCGCCATTTTTAATCCTCATATGAGGTGGTTTTCTGTAGACCGATTTTTGGCAACTTTTAGTATGTCACCCTTCACACCCAACACTACACCAAATAAAACCATACAATGTTTTCTTGCATTGTTTTAAGGCCATATCCCATATCCCATATTTATCTGACTATCGGTGTTTTAAAATAAATGGCTCATAAGAAAATAGCCACAATTTTAAAATTTATATTTAGACACTTTCCCATGGTCGGATTGTGTCGGATTTTGGATATGTTGTAAAGTAACATTTGTTGAGTCAAATACCACTTCAATGGCTTATGAAGCAATTTTGCCCAGGTCAAATCATAATTTACTAGACTAGTTGTATCCCTGACGGCTACAGAGAAAATTCCAAAAAACTGTTAATTTAAAATTCCCATATTCTTATGGTATGTAGTTTGCTTGTTTATAAACACATTTTTATTAAATTTAGAAAAAAATGTATTTATTTTTTATTACTCTATCAACATTTAACTATAAAAAACAACTTATTACCTTCCCTGTCCAAACCTAAGTACTCATTTAAACTAATGTTATTTAAATAGGGAATAAATATGATATTTTTAAGGAGATATTTTAGTGAAAATCCTATCAGGCAATTGGAAATTTCCTTAGTGTGCAGGTTTGCTGCAGCAGGGGTATTTATATTTATAGTAGTTACATTTATTTTTCTTGTTTTTCTAATGTTGTTTATGCACATCAGTGACTAGAACAACATCATCAAGGACAATAATGCAACAACCAAATATAAAAAGATAGCTTAGTCAAAGTTTTTTATAAATACTTGTTTGACCATGTATACCGGTAATCAGTGGAACCTACATAAAAACAATAAATACCAACCAAATATAATGAATGTCCAATGAAGCAAAATCTTGATCAAGATATTCTTTGTCGTAGTGAAAAAAGTTTCAAAATATAAAGTGTTACCATTCGTTGATTGATAATTTTCTTAGAGAAATTCCAAATGAGCTTTTGTTTTCATAGGTACTTATATTTATACTTTTCAAAAATGTAAACTACTATTTTCATAAATCATACATAAAAAAAATTGAAAAATATCACTAAAATCACTAAAACGTTGTTTACAATTGACTAAATCTACTTACGTAGTTTGATTTCCTGTTTGTCGCCAGATGTAACCTGGCAGGTACATACTGCCATCACTATACACACGAGCAAAGCCCTCATCTTACTGACAGGATGCGTGCTAGGATGCTAGGAAAGTGTGGTCTCCGCTCCATCAAACCTCATAGCCTAATTTATAAATGCCAAAGGAAAGCGAGGAAATCAATTCATTGGATGATCCTGGCTCCTTAGTCAAATCTAGTTTTGGTCAGATGTTTCTAGTCTGTTGAATTATTAATCAGGTAGATACGTAAAAGTAAAAGTCTTCTTTTGAGCTAGGCATAATTTACAAACTGTTTGTTTTATAGTTGTCGTTTCTTTAAATTTCTATTAAATGTGGTTACAACTGGATTATGGAGTAACAATTTCCAAAAGAGGTTTATGTTACTTAGTATTGAATTGTAGTACATTAAGAAATTCTTCAACAATGGAAACTTGCTGACCATAAACAAATCATTCTTCATTGCTATAAAAAAATCCATTACTATACACTATAAAAAACTATTTTTCTAAGGCAGTTGTAATTTTAAAATATACCATCTACCTATATTGAAAATATATTTACAATAAACTATTGACTCATATCTAAATACTGAAATGTTAGTGTGTTTAAAAATATTTTTTAACATTGACTGATTAAAAAAAAATTATGACGTGAAAGATTTGTTGAAAGATTTTTATTTTTAAATATATTGTGACACTACTATATTTATAGTGCCACTTCACCCACTTAGTTACACAATAGTTACTTGTATAACTAGTGGTGAAAGTGGCACTTTGCTGCACATTATATTTTTCCTACAGTCACTATAATAAAGCATATAAATAATTAGTCTTTCAAACACTATACAACACGTTTTTAGGTTCAGCTGGCAACACAAATGGTGCCCTAGAGAAAGTTGTACCCGCGGTCCGTATCACTCCGCTATTTTTCCTCGGCAAGAAATGTGCTCCGGGTTTTGAGAATATAGTTCCGTATGTTTTTGTAATTTGAAGTGGTTTCCACGCCTAAAAAAATGCTTTAAAGGTATTTTCTTGTTTATTAAGATCGTAGGAATGTTTTAAAAACGTTTAAAAGAAAAGTCTAGAAAGTTCAGAAATACCGAAACTATAAACACGAAATGACAGGTTAAATCGTAGTTAAAATAGTCAATCAGCTGCTCATAGTATTATTATCTTTAAGTGTTGCCAACCTATTTCCAAGCGTACACGGATTACGTGCATAAAAAAACCACGCTGTTTTGTGTTGTTTCGTTGGAATCCTGATGTGCGGCAAAGTATAAACCGTACGACAAAGTATAAACCGTACGGCAAAGTATAAATATGCAGCAATTAGCAGCTTTCTGTACTATAAACAGTACAAGGAAGCGAACTTTGTCGGGTGACTGTAGGAAAATAACTATTGTGTTAGTGTGTGAAGCGGCACTTTGGTGCACACAAGAGAAATGTTTACGCTTGAGCCGTAAACAAGTGTGGAAAGTTTCTCGAGTGCAGCAAAGGCAGTTTGCACTTGTGTTACACATTATATTTTTCCTACAGTTACTATAAAGCATATAACTAATTAGTCTTTCAAACACTGTAACTTACAACACGTTTTTAGATTAGGTTAATTCCAAACATTGAACTACTGTAAATGGGAAACACTGCACCAGCTGATCGTAGTCGTAATATATTTAACTGTTGCCAACTTATTTTCAAGTGTACAAGTATTACGTGCTTAATAAAAGCACGCTGTTTTGTGTTGTTTAGTTGGAATACTGGTGTGTGGCCAAATAAAAAACTGTGCGGCAAAAGTAAAAAGTGTGTAGCAAAATTGAGTAGATGCAGCAATTTTCTGTGCTATAATCAGTGCAAGGAAGGTCACTTTGTCAGGTGACTGTAGGAAAATAACTATTTATTGTAACATATAAAATAAACAGTATTTTGTACTACTGTGCTGTGGTGTCTGAATTCTCTGGTCTATGTCTCTATTTCTTTAAAAGTATATTATTATAACAAAATAATTTTTGTACTAAAGTGAAAAACATATATCATTTGTGTATAGGTACTCTATAGGAATATAATTATCGGTAATAAATTTTATATTGTTGAGAAAAGTCCCCGACCTCTATGAATCAAAATGGGTTGGAAACGTACGGGTAGATAAGTACAGTGAATAAAGAAAAAAAATTATATTTTTGTTTTTAATTTGCAAGGTAATATAAAACTAAATAGAAGGGAGGAAACCCCTATTCAATTTTAACTATTTTATTCTTTTCTTTGTCTAAGGTTTCCTACTTATCCTTCTCTTTAGCTAAATCTTGATTCTTCTCATTATCTTTTTTCATATCTTCTTTTTCGTTCTTATCTTTGTTCATTACTTCTTTGTTGTCCTTATCTTTGTCCATTACTTCTTTGTTGTGGTCCTTTTTTTCCATTAATTCTTTGTTGTGATCCTTAATATCTTTATCCATTACTTCTTTGGGGTCCTTATCTTTTTCCATTCCTTCTTTGTTGTGGTCCTTATCTTTTTCCATTCCTTCTTTGTTGTGGTCCTTATCTTTTTCCATTTCTTCTTTGTTGTGGTCCTTATCTTTATCCATTACTTCTTTGTTGTGGTCCTTATCTTTATCCATTACTTTTTTGTTGTGGTCCTTATCTTTTTCCATTTCTTCTTTGTTGTGGTCCTTATCTTTCTCCATTACTTCTTTGTTGTGATCCTTATCTTTTTCCATTGTCTCTTTGTTGTCCTTGTCTTTTTCCATTTCTTCTTTCCTGTCCTTATCTATATCCATATCTTCTTTTTTATCAGTATCTTTGTTTTTGTCTCCTTTATCACTATCTGTTTCCGTTTCTTCTTTTTTATGTTCATCTTTATCTTCGGTTTTGTTGTCTTTGGGTGGCATTTTAGGAAAGATAACGTCCATGGGGTTGCTATCAAAGAACTTGGTAAAGATACGTTTGAGCTTTTTGTCGGATTCTGGTATGATTACTGGTAACATTTGCCATACAAGAGCCTTCCAGTTAGCATTAAGGACAGTTCGCACCAGCTGATCTGGAGAAAACAAATAAAAATACAATATTAATATCTCACATACATTAAATAACAAATTACTTGATTATCAAAATTAGAGTTGATAAAACAACGGAGTGGTTCATTGAGACATGAGATGTGATAACACCAAAAATATTGAATGGTGTATATAACAAAGATTTAAAAAATAAATTTAACACAAACAACATAATAGTTCCTAAGTGAAAGTGGGTTTAAAATGTTTGGTATACATAATTTTATAATAGGATTATTCAGAAAATGTAATAAAACATCTAACTTAGTTTGAGGGAATTGCTACTATCTCTAGTCTGTTCATAATATACAATACTGAAATAGCAAATCGGAAGTTTACTATACATTTCTAAACTGTTTAAATCCATCGTAATACAGTACAGAACTTATTGTCGAAATTAAATAAAGATACAAGTAACCATTTTTGTTACAAGACAGGATGTCTTTTTATAGCCTGTAACATCCTGGAGAATTTAGCTTATTGTTTCCACTGCTGAGCGTGGGAGCGGAAATGCCGAGATTCCTAGAAAGCGGTGGTTATACTGCTCTCAAAACAAGGTCGGTTAAAACAAACTGAGGGCGGATAATCCGATTATCGGTTAATGCGAGGTCGGTTGAGAGGGGGTCCACTGTAGGTTTATTCTGACGAGTTTGCTAACCAGCATGGTTACACTATGGAAACGGGGTTTATGGGATGGTTGATGAGGTGTAAATAGTTATTTCCCATTCCAAAAACAACGATTTGTAATATATACTATTTTTAGAGCTTGAAAAAATTAAATGTTGAAATGTACATCTAAAATAATAAAAACTAAAAAAAAATTAAATTTAAAATTTCCCTTTTATCTTGTGGACAGTAAGTAAACTGTCATACTTTGCTTTTTTATGAATACATTTTTATCAAATTTAGCAAATGTATTGTAGCAGCAAACTTAGGTACTTTTACTTGCTAAACCAACTGTTATATAAATAAAGAATAAATACAGTAGAATGTTGATTATTTGTAGGTAAAAAATCCGGACCGTCAATAATCCGGATTTGTCTCTATTAGTAAAAAATCAAATTTTTTACAAGGTTGATTTCAAAACGAATGAAGGACTTAGCTGTAAAAAACTAACCACTACCGGAGTTCAAATCCTATCACAAGCTCAAATATATAGGCTAGTGTCTTATGTTTTTTTTTACTGTATACTGTACAACATTATATTTGTTGCTATCAAATACATACAATTTAAAAAAGATGTTTACTCAAAATAGTGTGTGCTGGCCCTTTTTGAGGTATTGATAATCTGGATAGTTTGATGATCCACATGAGGTCTAGTTCAAATTAATCCGGATTATTGTTGTTCTACTGCATGACATGTTTAAGGAAATATTTAGAAATATTTAAGTAAAAATCAAATATGGCAAACGGAAATTCCCTTAGTCTGCAACTTTGCTACCGGTACTAAAGGAGGTATTTTAAAATGTTTTTATTAGCTCGCTTTCTTGTCCGGTACAAATTTTGCAATCAATTTTATACTAACTTCCCGATGAGCTAGAGACTTGAAACTTGAAACATAGCTCACAAATGGAAGACAATGCAATATTATATAATTTAATTTTCATATTTCCCTTGGGCTACGCCCCATGGGCTTGTTTTTATTAACTCGCTTTCTTGCAAATTTTGATACTTCCCGATGAGCTAGAGACTTGAAACTTGAAACATAGCTCACAAATGGAAGACAATGCAATATTATATAATTTAATTTTCATATTTCCCTTGTTTTTAGCTTGTTTTTATTAGCTCGCTTTCCTACAAATTTTTATTTAAACGAAGTTCCCGATGAGCTAGAGACTTGAAATTTGAAACATAGCTCACAAATGGATGACAATGCAATGTTATATAATTTAATTTTTGTATTACCCTTGGGCTACGCCCCATGGGCTTCCAAATTTTTCATATTTTCATTTTGAAAGAATTAAATTATATCAATTAATTTAAGTCGGCTGTAAATAGGTACTTAGATTTGACAGTTCAAAGAGCAGAGGTTTGAGGTACAGGTTATGCTCCCAAGAGATACAAACAAACATTTCAAAATAAAGATAAACAATCTGATTGTATATATATAAAGGTGTTTGTTAATAATGTCAATCGTTATTTATTTTGTATTCTATAAAGTAAACAATAAATTAAATAGATTGATATATTTATAGTTGGTAGGTAGGCCATTCTTTCAATCTAATACATAATTATATGAAAAGAAATTCAAATAAACCTTAGATTTCTCACATGCCTCTGTCTTAATCTGATATAGATGCTTGAAATAGATCCATACACATTAAAAACTAAAAAGTAGAAAATAATTTATAAATAAAAACAAAACGTTTTTAAACGCACTAAAAAGTAGAAAATAATTTATAAATATGTGGAGAGCATAAATACTTGTAAGATTTAAAACGAAAAACGTAGGGTGCATGCAATTGATAATAATACATTAGTTCAATAGGTGAAGGTAATTGTAAATTATCTATTGCATGCACCCCACGTTTTTTCGTTTTAAATCTTACAAGTATTTATGCTCTCCACATATTTATAAATTATTTTCTACTTTTTAGTGCGTTTAAAAACGTTTTGTTTTTAAAATGTTTTTATTTATAAATTATTTTCTTTCATAATAATTTATTTGAATGTTTGAATTTTATAATCATGCAGCACATTGGATGTTTTGATAGGTGCAGGTTATGGAGGTACAACTTTTGGACTCTACATTGAAAAGGTGTTCTAATCAAAAGTATGTTAAAGAAAGATGAGAAATAATTGATGGTATGAATGAGAAGCTTATGCATTTTTAGCACTTAGCATACTTACTGAGGGCTGGTCTCCCATCTACAATATCATGGTTTACAAGTTGAGCTTTGTGAATGCCGTTTGAAAAGAAATCCCAGGTAAACCTCTCAAGATCTAGATATTCATGGTCCTTGACAGTCTTTATGTCACCAGTTATTTTGTAAGTGACATTCAACTTTTCTAAAAACATATTTGAAAACACGCTGATGAATAACATTTTAAATAGTATAACTATGTGCATATTTTTGTTATTTCTGAAAGTTTTTATCAACAACTTTAAACTAATTTCAATTGCTGAAAAACAATCATAAAATACCCAAAAGATAGACTATTAAAAAGGATGAAATGCAACATCATTCATACTCAAATTTATATCATTATCAAATCTCATTCATTAGTCACCCTACAACACCATTCACAAACAAACTGCTATTTCTTATAGCAAAGAGAGTAGACTTGAATCTATAGGCCTACTTTAAGACTGTCTGAGTGTCTATACTCTCTTTAATCTATGCTTTTAGTATTATAGTAGATTGAAAGGAAATTTAAAAGATGCATTTTAATATTATCAGCAAATTTCTTATGTGCACCAAGTTTTATTATCTTATTTGAAGAGCTTATCAAGTTTTCATAATTCAAGGAAAATATATATCTATTTTGGGAACAATAGCTTTAGACTACCATGGCATTGCCAGACAGTGTTAATTTATTTGTTTGTTCTTAAAAAAAAAAAAAATTAAATGGGTTCCCTTTAGGCCTATGTAATTTGTTTATACAATGTGGTATATTAGAAGTTTTACCAACCAAACAGCATGTCTATTCGTCCTTTAATGTCAACCGGGACCGATACAACATTCCCTTTCAGAAGGTAGAATGACTTCAAGTTCAAGTAGGGTAGATAACAGTCATAGTCCAAGTAGAACTTTTTTGGGTCATCCAACTTCGGCCTATAAATTAAAATACATTATTACATCAAAATAAGGCTTTGTTTGTTTTTAAAAACAGCATATCTACAAGTGGATGTACAAAAAACCAGAGGTTCGCTACCTAGTTCGAATCTCACAATTTGTCAAATACAAACATGTCATTATACATAATTTTGAAACTCTTATTAATATAAACATTTTTTTGAAATCAGAATTTGACTTTTTATTTTCATTAGTTTAAAAATGTCGGCTCTTTATGTGTGAAAGATTTGGTACTACATTATTTTGAAAAGTCACCCTATATATATAAAAAAAAAAACAAAAAAAAAACAGATCTCTACTCTGATTAAAATTTTGTATTCCTTATGAGCTAAGCTTTAATTTGAATGCTTACAATAATATCACCAAAACAAAAATTTCTAAAAATATATACCACTTATTTGTTTGTTCTATTTATATTTTGTTAACCAATAAGAATAAAATATTGAATAGTACAAAATGTTTTTATGGTTGTTCCATAAACCTCCTTACTCTCGAACATAAACATATTTTATCTTGTTGACTTTATATATGTCATACAAATATGCTTGTTGCATAAATTGAGACAGGATGTTTTTTAATACCTTTGTTAATGGAAGTCCAATGACTCCTCTCTAATTTACAAACAATAAAGTTACTCTATTTGATAGTCAACATAATATTATGTGGGGCCACCATACCCATATACAACCAACAAACAGTCTATGTGTCATTGCACTGCCTTATTGCTACATCCCAAACTATGAAATCAAATCAAATCAAATATTTCTTTATTCATAATATGTACCTACCTATTGTAGGCCTATGTAGGCATACAATGAATGGGGTCAGATAGAAATAAAATCTATTAAAATTAGCTTAGATACAATTACAGTACATCTAAATAATTATCTACAACACTATTTCATTTCATTTCATTTCATATAACTTTATTCATAGTACAATACATAAATACAGGAATGGCGTCAAGAGTAATTTAATAAAACTAACTTAAATATAATACTCATCATTATCATGCATGGCATAACAACAAACCATCATTATTAATAGCTTTCCAGATCAAATAAATTAAAACAAGCAGTGCAATATGAAAGTTTATACATGAAAATATCAAAATTAAAAATACAGATAAAATTATTTTAAAACCAAAAGTTTCAATTTAAATGAAATAGAGCAATTATTAATAACTTTAAAACTCTTAAAAAAGTACATAGCCTTGTTGATAAGAAACTTTTTCAATTTTGATTTAAATTTATTTTTGGAAGTTTCTAATTTGATTTCATTAGGAAGTTTATTATAAAATTTGGAACATATTTGGCATATTTAGGTGTCTTCGTAAAAAGTTGCAGAGTATGTGAGCTTGTGGCCAGGTTTTCTCGATTTCTAGTAAAATAATTGTGATTTTCTCCAATAAGTTGTAATTCATTAAATCTGTCTTTTACTGATAATACTGTTTCATAGACATACATTCCATAAACAGTCATAATATTCTCAGTTTTAAAATATTCTTTGACTGAAGTTCTGCGTTTTAAATTGCACAAAATTCTAATAGATTTCTTTTGCTTTTTTAGAAATGATTTTAATTTTTTCTTTTTTGCTGCACCATAAAGTGAAACTCCAAATGATATGATTGAATGTATGTATGAAAAATATATAATTTTTAAAGTTTCCTTTTCACATAGGGGTTTTAATCTTGTTAGCGCATAAAGGCCAGATGAAATTTTAGAAAGTAACTGATCAATATAATGATTCCACTTCAAATTTTCATCAATATAATCCCAAGAATTTGATGTGGTCTTTATTTTGAATTGTGTTGTTATTAACTACAATTTTTGGCAGATTTTGCAGTTTAGTTTTTCCTGCTTGGAAACACATAAAATTAGGGCCTTGGCTTCAAGTTCAGCATATGTTCCTGCAAGTTACTGTTACTTTATAAAAAAAAAAATCGCTAATTGAATAACAAGTGTTCTCAATCATAAATGCCTTAACATTTTTATTGAATTTCCTAATGTCTCATTTTTAAAACTTTCTGGCAATATACTAAAGAGTTAGGCACCAATGTATGTGATCTGTTTTAAAAAAAGTTGCTGTTATAAGTATGAATGTGGCCCAGAAAACTGATTTCGGAAAAGTTTTGTTTTACATGACCGTATACAACACATTCATTTCACATACATCTATATCTATCTATCTACAGGATGTCCTGGAACCAGGGTTGCCACCCGCCCCGATTCTGCCGGGACAGTCCCGATTTCGGTTCCTTATGCCCGTATTGATAGTCAAAGCCCGTATTAAAGCCTATGTTAATCCGGGGGAGGGGGACCATGTCCCGATTTTTCCCTAACCTAAGGTGGCAACCCTGCACGGAACTCTTTACCAAAATTACCACAAAGCTCCCAAAAAATTAAGATAAATTTACAAATTCATAAAACAAAATGGTGGCCATTTAAAAAGTTGTTTCTTAAATAACTCAAAAAGCATTGGTTTTACAAAAGTTTTACAAGAATAACTTTTAAAGGCAATTTTATTACTCAATTGACACCTTATTTTTTAAGATTGGACGAATATTAACTGATATATGGTAGCTTTAGTGATACTTGACCGCTAGAGGTTAGTTGCAGCCCATGCTGGAAGCGGTCACGTTTACTAAAGCTGCCATATCTCAGTTAATATTCATCTAATCTTAAAAAATAAGGTGTTAATCAATTTGTAATGAAAAATTGCCTTAAAAAAGTTATCCTTGTAAAAGCTTTGTAAAATAAACAGTTTTTGAGTTTATTTTAAGGAACAAAATTATTGTAAATGGCCACCATTTTGTTTTATGAATTTGATAAATTGTCATAAGCTTTGTCTAGTTGTCATAAATGTTTGTGTAAAGTTTCAATTTTGTATCTTTCCATTCTTTATAAAAAAATTAATAAGTGAAAAAAACGAAATGGCGGCTGTGTGAGTAACTAAGGACTTCTGGACAGTTTAAATATTATATTTAGATATGTTTCTTACTCAGGAACAATGTCCTAGAATTTTGGTAGAGAGTTCCGGAACGCCCTGTATATATTTAAAAGCCCACATGAATGTTGTGGGGAGCGAGCTGGTCTAGTGGTTAGAGCGTGGTACTTTGGTCCAAGAGGTCCCGGTATCATGCATGGCACTTCTTCATAAACAGTGAACTTTAGTTCACGAAATGAGACGGCTAAAATCTTTCTGATAAGGTAATGCTTATTATTTCTCGATAGTTCTCCAAATGGGCAGAACCCACGGATATGTGGCAAAGACTCAAAAGTGTAATTCTCAGTGGTGGAGTAACGCCTGCACTGGTTGCCATCCTTGGAACTGCCCCGTATTGACCTTACTGTTGCCACATCACCTATAATTTGCAATGCTTCTTTATATTCAGATATCGTTATTTCTTCCATTTGGTGTAAGGCACAATTGGGGGGAGATTCAGTGTTGCCAGATTGACCGGCGTAAATTATTGTACAAGCAGTCCAAAATCGTTGTATTTGGGGCAAAATTATCGTACACACAATTTTTTTATATTATGATGTAAAACAAGCAAGTCGATGATGAAATAACTGAAATTTAACTCTATTTGTCTCTGCCGCCCACCGCTTTTTGCTCTACCAGCAGTCTACCACTGAGCTAGAAAATATAAATTCTACCGGAGGCAGTACTATCACACACACAAAATCTGCATCTCTGCTAGAAAAAAGTTGAAACGCTGTAAAATTTGTTATTTTGGTTCTCAATTAGAAAAATCAACCAGCTAATTGTTTTATTTCATTCCCCACTGCCAATGCACTGAGTAAAATAATTAATTGAAGGTACAACGTACTCTACCCCTGGTACAAATTGCGGCCAACTTCTCTCAAAATTTTCTTATAAGCACTTAAGTTGGTAGCCAATGGGCCCTCTCTAACACAGCTGATGCCTTTGCAAGGTTGCCAGATCGAAAAGCAACAAAGTGATGTTACCGTTTTTCCATATATGACAAGTGGGAAACGTGTTAAAATGTATATTAATCAATATGAAATTGTTTATTTTCTTGCCGCCAAAAAATAATTGTAATAACGGATAGGTTCAGACAATTTTGGATGACCTCCATCTCACACATTACAGATTGGTCATCAATTTTACAGAACATCAATCAAAATTTTTTTCACTCCCGAGGTCCTGAGGCAGCTTCAAAGCCAACTGCTCTACAGACAGCAATCCTCAGATGAGCACCTGGCTGACTATGTCCGCGACATCCAAATATCGTATTTGATTTTATCCCCATCCACTCAACCACAAGAGATATTCCAAAACATATTCCGGGGAATAAACCCCCAAACCAGGTCACCAAAATGTGGCACCATTATGCCACAACACAATGTCAAAATTATCGTACAATTTTGCAAAATTATTTTTTATGGGGAAGGAGTAAGTATTGTACAAATACGATTATTATCGTACAACTGGCAACACTGGGGAGAGTATTCCTGAAAATGGATAACACCTCGTCCTTTGAATGGAAAATATGATGCTTACATAATTCAATTATAATTAATAGGTACTTTTTTTTAGGTTTATAAATATCAGAACCATTATTTTATTTTATTTAGTGGCCCTACCTACGCTGATGATGTCTACATATCAAAAGTAACAATCTAAATTGTTTTTCGTTTTGTAGTCACTGTTGCAGGAAACCCAGAGATTCAGCCTGGTGTTTGAGTTAAATTTCTTCAGATAATCTAGACACTAGGGATTACTCTGAGTCTCCAGGTTTGCTGCAACACAGGTGGTTATTTTTAAATACTTACCTAACCTCTATTACCTTGCATGCACTCAGTCCATGAACATATACATCTGTCATGTTTAGTTTACCTCCAATTATCCCACTCTTGTAATCAAATGGAAGTACATCAAAGTACAAAGGATCAAATGACTCCAAGTTGTACTCAACAGAACCTGGAACAATGTGTCAAAACTCTGTAATGAGGTATATCAACCTCCAAACTAATAAATTAAACAAATATACAAACAGTTAACTTCTCTAACCACCCTTAGTTAAACCTGGGTTATTCAAAATTATTATGAAAACTTGAAATCAATTAGAAAGTTAGATAGCCTACATGGGTTGCCTGTAGTCCAAGTAGTTGACCCAGCTTGGCCAATGGAATGTAATGGAGACAGCGGATATCATACTGTAGTAAGCATAAAGTTTGTAAACAATCCTGAATATTAAAACGTGACAAGTTGTTTTTGTATTTCACGATTCTGAATCAACAACTAAACGGATGGTTTTATGATTTTTTTTTATGAAAAAAAGAAAATTTTGTAAGGAAGGGAATGTTGAAGCCGTAATTTTAGTTTAGGTTTTCAGTTTTTTTAAAATTAAGTTTCAATTATTAAAAGTCTAGCAGCTGATGCTAACAATTTAAAATAGTTTCAGTGCTGGTTTAACTAACAGCTGGTTTCAAATTGCTGTATGATACAGGTTATTTGTTTACAAAAATATTGACCGTCAGTGTTTGCCTGGATACTATTTACTTTAAAATGTAGGTATTTCCTATTGTAAAGGATCGGGGTTATCAGGAAATGTGTAATTTTGAACTATACATCTCATATACTTGCATATAATCATGTTTTGCATAAATTCAATGTGTAAGCATAAGTTTATGCTATGAAAATTTTAACTCATGTTTCATAAATATTTTTTTCAGCAAACCATCCTCGAATTGTTTTAAGATAGAGGTTTACATTTTTATACTCCTTTTTCTTGATGTTCGAATGTATGTATGTCGGGATACCAAAGTTTTGGTTGGTAATGAAAATGTCAACCGGTGTAGTAGGTATATATAAAACTGTCCAATAAGCTGCAGGGTGTCAGTAGAAACCAAAATTGATTCATACCATACCATAACCATCACAGTATAGTACTGTATGGTTCAGAAACCTGGGCACAATCCAAAGAACTGGAAGCACGTTATTGCTGGGTTTGAGAAAAGAGTGCAGAGAAAATATACGGACAAGTTCAAGATAACTGAGGTTGGCGAGATGAGATGCAAAAGAACAGAGAGCTAAGAGAAATTTCTAAACACCCAGATATAGGGGTGCTTTCCAAAAGTAAAAAGTTCTGATGGGCACGCTATGTGTGGTGGAGAGAAGATACATAAACTTTTAAAAGTGTATACCAATTAAGAAGTACCACAAGATATACGGTCATTTTGGAGGACCAAGAATGAGAGGAAAGACAAGTAAAATAAGACTCCAGACTTAGATCTGCATTAGAAGAGAATGGGAGGCCATAATCCTCATAGGGTTTCAGTGGCCATGGAGGTAATATAAGGTACTGTAAGTGGTAGTATGCAATGGAAGTTGGTAACCTACTGTACTAAAAACCAGTGTGTATGAATCAGTCGCCAATTTCCTTTCAAAGCTTTTCAAATTGACACAATAATTGCTGTTTAAATGAATTGAATTGAATTGTTTTATTGTAAAATTATTGGATTTAAAATGCATATCGTATAGGCCTAAAATTGGGTGAAAGAAATATGTGGTCACGTAACGTTTGTTTTCAAGATGATTTTTCCCATTAAAACTGCCCATTTATGCGTGTAAACTAACTGTTCTGAATTATATTCAGTTTTAAACTTTTAATTACCTACTCAATTCTTGTACATAGGACGTGCCAACAGCTTGTTGTCAATTATTTTAATATATATATATTTGGTGTACCTAGTTGTAGACTTCAAGATAACAAAAATTAAAATATGTAAAAACTACTGCTGTTGACCTATTTGAACTCAAATATTGGTTAAATTCCAACCTGATTGCGATAACTAATTTTCAGTTATTAAAAAAGTAGTTCACCTATCCTGGTTTTCTGTTAATCAGGGCTTACTGTATTTGCGTGTTGACCAAAAGACCAAAAAAATGTGTCTCAAGCTAGTAGTGCTTGAGTTGTTAGGGAAATCCCTATGTTCCCATTCTAAAACTCTTCTATTCCTCCTTCCTCTTCTCACTAGTGCAATAAAAGAGCATAGAAATGTGTAAAAGGATTTCCATAACCTATGTAAAGAGCTTTTGCTGATAATATTAGAGTGAAGGTTGAAATGTGTAATACATCGGCCTTCAAACCAGTTTACTCCCCAACTTACAATATTTAGGTTTTCCTAAATTGTGGTTGGACGGTTGCACAAAACGTTCCCAACCCTCCCTTAAAGTTTATTTTGCACAGTGAAACAGCTAATCCCTGTAAACATGGTTTGTAATTCTTTATCTATTTTTTTCTATTGATGATTTGTTAGCAGATAATACTGACACAATTTCTACGTTAATTAAACTAGATTTCAAGCAACGGGTCCTACACTTGTACACATTTATAATAAGAACTTCAATTAATTTGGCATTTGAACTCAATTATAATCTGGAAGAATGAGTTTAAGCAATTAATTACTTTTTTATTTTAAAAATAATATAGCCTAACCATTTTTCTAAAAACACCAACCATAAAACCCCAAAAATAATATAAAGGATTCCTATACAAACCTGGGCAATGTATAAAATTAATTGTTTATGTAAGCTGGCACACAGTTCTAAGTAAGCGATATAATTAAGAGATGGCAGAGAGTGGGTTTCAAATTGACTAGGTCTTCCATAATAAGTACCTATCTAATAACCAAAATATAATGAAAATAATATAGGTAACTCCTTGTGTTATAATGATAGTCTCAAAGTTTGTTTCCCTTCCTTCATCTAAGCCACTTTGTGATGTAAATAAATTAATAGATGAGTAATGATTAGATACTTACCATTTTTAAATATTGGTAATAATGTTCCAATTTCCTTTTTTAAACACTCAGCTACTTTGGGATCGTCTCTATAGCATATTTGTAAATCAGAAGCTGAAAAAGAAATGTAATATACTTGAAAAAATATCTAACCATTATAAGCCTCAAAATATAAATATTTACATTTTAATAAATATTAAGGCCCGGTTTCTCCAAGTAGCGTTTAACTTAAACTGATTTAAAGTTATAAGGAAGTTCAAACCATCAATCGATTTCTCTATACAGTTTGGCCTGAAGTTTAAGTTAAACCATGAAAGAGGAATGTTGGCTGTCCTGTTGTAGTATGTTTGCATTTATTTCATCTGTATAACCACATTTGGAGATTATGTTTATTTATTGTCTTAGAAAAAGTGAGAGGCACCAACATGCGTCCTTTTTATGTTAGTAGCTCTGTCCCTCCAAACAATAAATTGTATTTTTGTAAACTAAAAGTTGGACAGAAATTGAGAAGAAAAAAGCTCTCAAACCAGTTACCAGTATTAACCACTTGCACAAAACGATATTTTACAATAGCCATAATACAGCAAGCATAAGACCAAGATGAACTACTTGGAGAAACCTAAAATGAAATAAATATAACGAAATATTGTTGTAATTAAGGACTATTTTTTGGACAAGAATATTGATTTCATATGGTGGTTAACTAAATAAATATGGAAATTTGAGAAATAAAACAGATTGAATGCATTTAAGTCAATTGCCATTTTAGTACAGGTAAAATAGGGTTTTATAAACAACAAAATTTGTACATTCATGAAATTTCACCTGTGAGCTACTAACAATATGAGAAATGAAGATCCGATGAGTCCCCAAAATTTTGGGCGTCCTAAGGCCCTTTTTGGGGCCCTTTTTGTTCCGAAAGGCCCTTGTTCCTGAATAATTTTGTTTTTACGTTTAAGGTCGAGTGAGGTGTGGTTTTCGATGGTTTTAGTTATTTTAAATCGATTGGGAGTAGTTTTAAGTATATTCAACCACACCATACAGGGTGTTTCGAAATATTATTACTTTTTACGATATTTAAACATTTATTCATAAAGTAATAAAATTAGTTACCTCCATGCTCTATATAAAAGGGGATTATTGAAAATAATTGTAATTGTTTACTACGTAAGGGGAAAGGATCAACAGGAGTAAGAGAAAATATTAAATACCCCCGTCACAGCAAACCTGCAGACCTAGCGAATTTCCGTTTTACTTACTTGATTTTCAATTAAATCTAAAATAGCATTGCGTTTAACGTTTACCTAGGTTTGTTGCTACAAGGAGGCTAATAAAGTGTGTTTATAGTAAAATGTTAATAGCCTAGTATAAAAAAAATAAATTTGACAAGTTTGATCAAAATGTATCTATTAACAAACAAACAAAATCATTTTACATTATTCTACATAAGAATAACATGGGAATTTTAAATTTACAATTTTAGTATTTTTATCCGTAACTAATAACCATACAAAAACACGTTAATATACTAAATTATTTGTTTTTAAGCTATTTAAAATGTTCTAGAGAAAAATTGGGAAACTTTGTGTTTTGAGGGTAAAGTAAATAAGAAAACCCAATTTTTACCCCATAAACCTCGTTCCCATTGTTCAGGACAAAAATGCTTGTACCGACAATGCTGCTCTGATGTCTTAGAGCTGTTCTGGTCGTCATAACCACGAAAGATAACCGTACTTGTATTGATTGAAAATAAGTTTGAGGAACTTAAGATTCAAGTTGCAAACGTCAGTATGTATGAAGGTGTTTTTGCACCACATTGTTCGTGCTTTTAGATTGGCGTTGCCTGTTCTGCAATATGCAAAGTTTTAGGTTTGTAAAGGGGAATTCTGCTTGAACACCAACTTGGACAAAATCAGTAAAGATGGATGATTTGCTAAGAATAATAAAATTGTTAATGAGTCGTCTGAGTGTGATGATGAAATTGTAAAGAGAGATACTACGGAAATTGTAGAAAAATAGCTTTAGTTTAAGTACTTCATTTTAATATGTAATGTAAGGTTTTATACAAATACAATTGTTTTAATTTTTAATAAATGTAAAAAAATAACTTAAATAACTACCTAAGAAAAATACATAT